TGTGGCCAGCGTAATATGACGTCAGATTTTCCAAAATAATCTCTTAAGCCTTCGAAAATCGGCCTCGAAATCCGGGTCCAATTCCGTGAACAAAGCTCGCTAAACTTTCAATTTCAGGATCTCTCACTAACGGGCGGCTGTTTAGGGTTTACGCGTATCGACCTAGAGTTATCCGAGTCATGACGGTCCCAATCACTCAAAGAATGAGAGGAATTATCGTTAGTTCCAAAGGTCACGATCGTTCGGTTCAAGCTCGGGGCCGGTTAGCCACGTGCACTCTCGGACTTGCGGACTCACCCGCGATCCGTTTGTACATCGTTGGCCTTGGCCAGACCAAACCCGTCACTTTTCCTAATATCGGCCCACGTTGGCCCAAAATATTCCCTCATCGTTTCTCAAGATCGGTACTCGGTTCGTGATCGGGCCCTTGGTCCACGTACCATTTTCCTAGTTAGCCGTACCCTTTTGGTTAGTATCCCGAGAGTGATCAGCTCTGGGCGAGACTTACTAAAATGAAATGCGAAATATTGTCAATTTTATTGATCCCGGAATTTCGTCGAAATTCGGGCTGTTACACTGCTTGTCGGTTACTTCTATGTTTTCAAACTTTGAATTTTGGCGCTTCCAATAACTGCCTTTTCTAACCACGTTTTTCCAGTTTTATTGTCCGCCAAAACTTGATCTCAACCGCTGGGACGACTTCAAATTTGGACAAGTAACTCCCCACAATATGCTCGTGCTCACTATTTCCGCTTTTTGCTCATAACTTCCTGCTATCGTGATTTTCGTGGCTGGGCTGTGATTCATCTTTACCGATTCTCTATAATTTCGGTATATTCCCGAAGTGTAAACTTCCCGAATTTCGGAAAGAGTCAACGTCCCGAGGCATAAACGTTCCAACGCTCTTTATATTCCCGAACTATGACTTTCCATGTTTCGGTAAACATACCGATATTCATCAACTACCGAATTCGGGATATGATGCCATTCACGCTTGCTTCCCAGCGTGTTTCCGAATCTTATCCAAACGTATTTCGGAAGATGGTTGATTTCCATTATACATCAGATTCGGCATTGAAGCCGACTCAGCGTCTATGCCGATTCTTATTTTGGTGTCAACAGGTACTATTCCGTAATTACTAACCACCACCATTCAGGTGTGATTGCGCAAGAAGTGTTTTACGACAGCGAAGGACAATCTTATGGCAGCACTTGTGTAGCAGAGAGATGCGATTCGTTTACAAGATACAGCAATGTGGACAAGAACCAATGCAATGAGCATTAAGGCATGGCTAATGCAATAACAAACATATAATGGGGATATCACGTGTCATTCCAGAAATTCATTTACGCGTAAAAGTATGAAAGTAAAAGCCGTCTTTACAAGGGCGACGATGTATGACAGTTTCAACAAGTTTCAGCGTCCCAGTAAAGTTCAGGTAAATCATATACAATCCCCATGAGGAGCAAGTTATACATGAGATAGTGATATTGCATAAAAATGAGCAAGTTAGAAAAGATAGAGACACTGACCTATTCAAATTAGATCGGATCATCGAGTGGAGTATCTTGCCATTGTCTACATGAGAAATATGCTGCAAAATAGAGCCTGCTGCATGATAAACTTCTTGAGAAGCAAGACTACATGACAATTCACTCCTCACAGATTGGGGCTCAATGATATCCATATTTAACACCCTTTTTGAAAACGCATATACCAAAAGGTGTTAGCTCTGATACCAACTGTTAGCGTTAACGTAATTCTTTTATGCGGAAAAATTTTGAAATTCAAAATCTTAGATCTTCATGATTCTTCACAATAAAAGGAATGAAGACGTACTTTTATCCATAACAATGCCGTTGAAGATAATTATTGCAAAAAACGGAAGAGACGAAGAAATTTGATTTCTCTCCCTCAACTCACTTTTATCTTAATGTTTCTTATCTGATGGAGGATAAAATATAATGTTCGTTATCTTGGGTGGAGAGAGAACCAGACTCTATTCATAGAGGCTATCAATTGATGCCTTTCATCAAAACACATTTCACTCTGTAAGAGTCACACATCTTCGGAGGCACTGTAATTTCCCAATAGAATTGCGCATTTTCATCTTTTTCATAACCAATACGTTTTAACATAACTAAACCATTAATTAATAGCATCATGTGGGTCACAATTATTCTCACATAGGAGCTCAAAAAACTAATGCCATTGTTGACACATATTTTTAATTGCCCAATTAAATTGCACAAAATTTAGGAGTTGATTTTCTTTAATTCCTAAAACCAAATTTTTTTTAACTTTAATAGCATTGCATATAGACATTAGGTATTTTTGTGCATTATTAGGGTTTATTATAATTTTTTAAAAAAAATTAGAAAAAATTAATTTAAAAAAAAATCGAATCGGGCCAGGTTGACTCGGCCCTCTCTTCTTTCTCCCCCCTCCCCCCCCCGTGGGCCCAACCCGCTCCTTTTCCTCTCTTCTTCTTTCACGCAAGCTGGGCCCGGCCTAGCCCGCACCTTCTCTTCTCCTTCCTCGGCCCAGCTGTCCCCCCTTCTTTCTCCTCTGTTCTCCCCTGTCTCGACCACCGCCTTGGACTTTGCGAAATACCCGCTCCACCGCACAAAATTGGCCGCGAAAGTCATGGTAGGAGCAGAGGCCGGCGTAGGGCCATTAAAGCGACGACTTCCGGGGCAGAGCAAGTGGCCGGCGGCCCCTATACAAGCAGTGGAAGAGAAAGAGGGGGGGTCAGAAAACAGAGCACACAGAGAGAGAAAGAGAGATTTGTAGAGAGTTTGAACGAGACTGAGAGCAAACGTGAGACTGAGCGTTTGCAGGAACTGAAGAGGAAGCTAACCGACCTCGCCGTTGCCTGGAGACTGATCGGCGACCCCCTAGAATCAACCCCGATCGGCAAGTCCTCCCGGCTCCCCTGTTATCCCTTGTTTTCTTATGCAGGTGGGTTGGGACTCGCGCCGACCGTTTCGCGCGAATCCCGGGCCATACCGTCCTTGATCTCAGTCTAAACTCACCGTCGGAGGCGAGCCGTAGCCACTAGAGTAGACCTTGGCCCCGAAGTAGGTTGAAAACCCCCTGTTTTGTCTATATATGCTAGGTGTTTAAGGAAATGCCTCAGTGAGGCCAGTTTGATTTTGGTCGTTGCTGTCGAGCAGGTAGGCGCTCGGTGAGATAGTGTCCTCGTGATTAGTCTTAAGGTGGTCGTGGGCAACCGATAGTGACCAAAAATTGGTCTGGGTTCGTTGATCTAGCTCCGACCAACGTCTAGGCTTGAATGGCCTGGTCGAAGCTCGGCCGGTGGCCGCCATGGTCAGTCACCTTGGTTGGTCGGAAGGGGGCCGCCCTAGCCCCAGGTGCTGAGGTAACCGAGGCCAATGGCCGGGCAAAATGGCTGGCTAATCGCCGGATCTCACCCAGTCGACGCTCTCGTCTATTTCTACACGCGGGAGCCGGCGTTAGCCGGATTTCCAGGCCAAATAGGATCGGTTCGACCTGGTCGAACTGGCCTTGTTTTGTCCTTTTCCATTGGAGTGGGCCCTAACCGGGCCCGATTCGGTTCACGGCCCGGGTCAGTACCCGGGTTGACCCCGACCCGGTTCGAATCCGGAGATTTGACCCAGGTCAACACATATGGGTCGGGTCCCTTGACCTGGGTCGGTTCCAACCCGACCCGATCGAATATTATATTATTTTTAAATAAAAAAATATTATTTTTAGAAAAATAAAAACTTTTTTTATTTTTCTTTTAAAATTAGGAAATAGTTTAGAAATTAGTACTTTTGAATATTTTTCTAAATTATATGAATTATTTGATTAATGATCATGTTTAAATCGAATAATCCTATAAGGCTATGTGGTAGTATTTTGCATGTTATTTTCACTACTATTGTATTATTATTATACATATTGTTTTAATTAGAATATAATTGCATCAATTGTCATGTTTTGAATATTGTCGCCTTAGTTAGGGTTAGAACCCTAGGCTACATATCTATCTTGACTGCTAATTACTAATGATTGTGCAATCATTTGATTACCTCGCATGTTAGGAGATAGGTCGTAAAATTAATCCAAACTCCCTGACAAATATTTTCTGAAATGAACAGGATGCACTAGTCACTTAACTAGTGTAACCAAGTTCCCAAACTCATTTAATCTCTGGTTTGTAAGAGTAGGGTGATTCTCTCGTCATCTTAGTTGGGTTTCTAATCGACCCACTCCAAATTGATTAGTGGCGACTCCTAGATAAAAACCATTTACAGGTTAAAAACTTAAACCATAAATCGCGATATGGTATGAGCTTGGGAGAACCCAAATTAAGTTCCAGACCTAGACTTAGCGCGTATTAGGCTACGCCACATCTTCCCCCTTCCGAGGAAAAATTCGGCGGGCCGCGACAGCCATATTCAAAACAGGTCCCAAGACTAAAAGGGAGCTCAACTACAGGACAAATCATCAACTGTATTACCCGACATTGACATCCAAGGAGTTGGTAATGACCAACAGATGATCAACATGAAGAGTTGATATCTAACATATAAAATGGAAACCAAATTCTACGGGAGTTCTATATTCATAAAGTGGCATGCTTCAACCAAGACAAGCAAATCTGCTCTGAAGCAAGCATGAAACCAGGTACCATTTTTCAGCATCTTCACATCTTTTTTTATGAACGTCGAAAACAAACCGGCGTGAAACTCTTATTTAAAAAGTTTGTGAGAGTTTATGTGATTGGGGAAGATGATGAACCTGACCTGGCTAGCTCCTACTAATAACACATTATATAATGCTCAAACCCTGTATAGTATGTCACTGATCGCAACAAAGTCTGAAGGGAGGATATGCTTTTAAATTCGAGCCGACGGTCCAACCAAATCGCACGATTTTGGTCTCGCCAAAGGGCACCGAAGAAACGCCAACTGTGTCATTTGCTTCGACTGCATCCCAATTTCCAAACATCATCGTCAAAGGAAACCACCTTGTTGCTTCCCATGCATACGCAACAAACAATGACTTCTATTCGTCTGTATTATCTCCTCCATCACCTTTATGACCCAACCACAACTGTTACACAACAAAAGCATTAGATTGTTGCAATCAAAGGTTGTTCCTTGAAGAAGCAAAAATTAGTTACGAGCGACCATGTCGCTGAGACTTTTCCATAGACTCGACACCGCCAAGACACAGTACTACCACTTCAAGGCTATCATCGTGGCAGGTAATTAACTCGTGTGTTTTGCATCACAATCCCAATAATTGATACAAGCAACATGGGTTGTATTATTTCATGAATCCGTTTTAATTGGTTATTCAGCATATCTTAAATTCGATTATCTTGCTTTCGGAAAAAGCATCGTTCTGTTTCCGTCAATATGATTCCTACTTTCTGTGTGATGTTCTTGATAAAGGGATGGGGTTATTCACCGATGCCTACCATCTCTTCTGTGTCCCACCGATCATGAGCCTGCTCGGACATGTATACTACAAATCCAACGGTTACCAAATCTCACCTGCCGTCGAATCATCCACGCTGGCCGTTGCGCTCCTTGGCACCGTGATTGGTCAACTCATCTTCGGCAGGCTCGGTGATCTTGTAGGGAGGAGGCGCTTGTATGGCCTCGCCTTGATGCTCATGATGGCTGGCTCCTTCGGGTGCGGATTCTCCATGGGCGCTACACGAGGCTGTGTTCTGGCGAGTCTAGGGTTTTTCAGGTGATCGTAGCATTAAAACCCACCGCGTGTCGCATAGTAAAATTACTCTCTGTTCGATTTCTCTTAGTATTCATAACACGCGAACATCACTCTTTCATTCTTTTCAGGTTCGTGCTCGGGGTAGGCATTGGAGGAGATTACCCGCTCTCGGCGACGATGATGTCGGAGTGTGCTAACAAGAGGATGCGTGGTGTATTCATGGCGGCTGTCTTCTCAATGCAAGGGCTTGGGATTCTGGCGAGCTCAGCTGTGACGATGGCGGTGTGCAAGATATTTGGCCGAATTTACCCTTCGTCGCCAAAAGATCCGACACCAAAGGAAGCTGATATGGCCTGGAGGTTGATATTGATTCTGGGTGTTATTCCTGCCGTGATAACGTTTTACTGGCGGATGATGATACCGGAAACGGCAAGGTATGTACGCGCCTTGCTTTCTTTAATAGATTGTTTAAATTGATTAATTAAGTGATTGTTTCATTTGCTTGAGAAAAAGTTGTTTAGTCTATGGTATTTACTGCTATGATCAAGCATGACTTTCTTTGGTTGCTGGGATTATGTTTGTCCTTCTAGAGACATTGTCCGCAGAATTTCTTCGGATCAGTTGCTGGGTTCCGTTGAATAGAAGAACCAAAAAGACAAAATCAGAGTGTGGCCAGTCGTGCCAAATAATGTGTCACTTCAAAACTCTAATTTATGTTGAACATGCTAAAAAGGGTGATGTATTTAAAGTCGTGTCGATTTGTGGCGGTTTCGAAATATTTGCTAGTCTCACCTTCCATAGACAGAGTCCAAAATGTGCCCTAATTTGGCGTTCCCTTGAGAAAACACTTGCACAAAATGGGTTCAGTGAATCATGTGCATTATCCCAACTGTTAAAGAACTTCTATAGTAGCTTATATCTAAACTTGTATGAAAATAGACAGAGTCGATCGTTGTAATATATCTTTTGGGTCTAATTAGGTACACCGCTTTGGTGGAAAAAAATGTCCTCCAAGCTACCAGGGACATGGAACGAGTCCTAGACATGTCTGACGGCCAAATCGCGGAGGGCCATCCCTTACAGCCGAGCCAGTCATCCTACCCTCTCTTCTCCAAGCAATTCTTCCTCCGCCACGGCCGCAACCTCCTTGCCTGCTCCGCCGGATGGTTCCTCCTCGACATCGTCTTCTACAGCAGCACCCTCTTCCAATCCAAGATCTACCACAAGTACCTGCACGAAGAACATGCTGGCAAGGCGGTCACCGCCTTCGAGGCTGCCTTTGAGGTCGCGAGTCTCCAGGCCATTGTGGCATGCTACTCCTTAATCCCCGGCTACATAGCCGCCATCTTCCTCATTGACCATGTCGGGCAGCTTAGCCTCCAAGCCATCGGGTTCGTCTTCATGGCCATCATTTACTTCTCCATCGGAGTGCCATATGACATATATTGGAAGAGCCACACGGACAAGCTGTTCATGTTCCTGTATGGCCTGACCTTCTTCTTTGCCAACTGCGGGCCCAACACGACCACATTCATCTTGCCGGCGGAGCTTTTCCCCGCACGATTCAGGACAACATGCCACGGGATCGCCGGGGCCGTGGGAAAGGTCGGGGCGATAATCGGCGCCGTGGGGTTTTTGATGGCCTCACAGGATGATGACCAAAATGGGTACGAGAAGGCATTGGGGATGAGAGTTACATTGATCATATTGGGAGGGATTTGGGTGTTGGGGATGGCGGTGACCAACTTGTTCACGAAGGAGACTAAGGGAACATCACTTGAGGAGAATGAATGAAGATTAGTCTGTTCGAGGCGAGTGATTTCCCTAGTTCTTAGTTAAATAATCCGTACAAATATATAATTAATCTGTATTTTGGAGTATTTCTGTAATTATATCTTTACATATACTCTGATCGTAATAAATCACTATTGTGAATATACTCAACCCTAATTGGAGTTAAGCCATCATAAATACTCTGTCGTTATTTACTTTCTAGCTCTAAAGATCAACACAATATCAGAGCAGGAAAATGCCTAAAATTCCTCAACATCACTACCCAAATCAATGCTTCCTTTGCTCCTTTTTCTATCTCGGCAATGTTTAATACATCTCCAGTTTTTTCTTCTCTACCATTTCTTTACCCATCATCTAAATTTTGTCCCAGTTTGAATAGCAAATTCGAATTAGAATAGGTCTCCTTTTTCCAGTGTTTGTCTTTCATTATGAAAACTTTCGAGTCGTTTGTAGTAAGCTTTTTCACCTTCTCTACGCCCTCATTGATCTCTATTATATGTTCAAATTTCAGTCATCCAAGAAGCATAACACCCACTTATATAAGCCATCTGTTCTAAATTAATGAAGTTCCTTTCGATTTCCTTATTTGTTTTTTATTTACTCTCTGCCCTTTTTTTTTTTCGTAATTCGAATTTTACAAAATACTTTAGGCTTCATACAATTGATTCGAAGTCCAAATTGATACTTTAGGATGCGTTTGGTAACATTTCTGTTCCCGGAAACAATTACTATTCAGAAATAGTTTTTTCTATTTCCATTCCCAGAACAATTTTCTGAGCAAAAGAACGTGTTTGGTAACTACATAAAATTTCTATTCCTGAAATAAAAAAAGAAAATAAATGCATTTGATATAACCCTAAAAATTTCTCCCAATTTTTTTCATTTAATTATAAAAATATCATTAGAGACTTAACAATTCATGTTTGGATAAAACTGGACTTTTGTATGGACTTAACTAATCAAGATATTCTAAGATGGCCTCAGAAAATCCAACGTAATAGTTAGTCAAAGATGGATGGTTGGAAACGGCAGAAGAGAGTTCCACTGATTTATAATACAATATGATGAGGTTGACAGCAAACCTTTGGGCATTACAATAAACAAGTGCATAGACGACCACACCAGAACTTATGCAGCAAGCACATCACAGCACATACAGTTAAGGTACTCTGCTATCATCGCATTAGCCGCTCAGATATGCTGATTGAAGATGTTGTAACAAAAACATCAAGCAACAAGAAAGATTAACAACTCAGAAATGCGATACCTACACGATATTTGGAATGTCTATGCAATTCATGGTGATCGCAAGCCATCTGAATTATTAAGTGTTATATTACACAGAAATGTGAAGCAAAGTTTTCCAGAACATGAAAAGTCTGCATGATGGCCCGGACCGCCTGCAGTGAAAAGATGCCGAGCCATCAGCCGGAAACACAGCATTCCTCCATCTTCAAAATATCAACCACAGAATGCACACTCCATCCACCTTCATCCATTGAAAAGAACAGGATTATGTAATGCCTACCGTTCAGGTGTAATTGCACAAGAAGTATTATACAACAGAAAAGGACAATAGCAGCGCTGTGTAGCAGAGAGATGCCATTCTTTTATAAAGATACAGCAATGTGGACAAGAACCAATACAATGAGCATTAAAGGCATGGCTACAGCAATAACAAACATATAAGGGGAAATCACAATTAATTGCAGAAATTCATCTATCCGCAAAAGGATGAAAACAAAACCATCTTTAAAAATGTGACAACACTTCCACAAATTTCAGTGTCCCAGAAAAGTTCAGGTAAATGATATACAATCCCCATAGGTGCAAGTTATCCATGAGACAGTGATATTGCATAAAAAAGAGCAAGTTAGAACAGAGAGACAGGGACCCATTCAAATTAGAGATCCTTGCCAATGTTTACACGAGAACATATCGCAAACATAAGCACGCTACTAAAAACTAGACAACCTAAGAAAGAAACATTTTTTATGACACACTCACGCCACATGAGGCTACGTGAAATGAAGTAATGCTACACGATAAACTTTGAGAAGCAAGTGTACGTGACAAATTGCTCCTCATACTAAGGTTGCCTCGCAGATCAGGGCTAAATGATGTCTCTAATTAACATTCTTTTTTAAGGTAAAAGGACCAATTAGGGCAGCAAGGGGGTGCAAACCCATATAAAAAGAGAATGCAAAAAACTAAAGCCGTATATAAAACAGCTCCAAAAACCAAAAGGGAGCTCAAATACAGGACAAATCATCAACTATATAACCCAAGGCATTTACATTCTAAGAGTTGGTAATGAGCAACACGTTGTTGATCTGAAGATTCCATATATTGATGTAAACCAGATTCTACAGTAGTTCTACATTCATAAAGTGGCAGGCTTCAACCCAGACAAGCCAATCTGCTCCGAATCAAATATGGTGCCAGGTTTCAACACTTTCATATCTTCCATCAAACGACAAGGCTATGCGGAACCGAAGATATTCCCCAAAAAATCCACATGTCAATTACCCGAGCCAGGTTACGCAAGCCTCTAAATTGTATCACACACTTCCACTGAGATGAGAGAAGCCGTTCACACATTTAATGAGTAAAATAGGGAACGCTCAAAATACTGAACTCTAATCACCTAAGAGGAACACCATTAACTGAAAGCAAACAAAAGCCACCAATTTTCTGCATCTACAGCCTCATAGTCCTCCCTCACTTCCATTCATCAATCAAAACCTACTTACTGCGACACCGGAATAGAGTACCGATACTTAAACGCTGCAGTTATCATGTTGAGTGCTGAAAATCTCAATCAAACACGCATCGCATTTGCTTCTAATTAGAAAACAAGAAAGCATCGACGCCGTATTCTCCAATCCTCAAACCTTCGCCGAGGAGGAGTCGAAAGAAACAAAAGGAGGAAAAAGGAACCGCGAAACACGACAGGCTTCGCTCCTCCGAAATCTGGGATTTCACGAACTGATAACAATCGACGGATTCATAGTCAGACCTAAAGGAACAACCACATCGCCAATCGGATGCCAAAGGGTTCGATCCGGTGCTCGAATTTAAGAGAGAATCAAAACGCGCGAATATCGAGGCGAAGTCAAGAGCGCAAACCAGCGGAGAAGAGGAGGTCGGATTATTTGGGGGATTTGCCGTGCTTGCCGGAGGAGGAAGCGTAGCCGGGCGGCGAGTAGACGACGGCGGCCGCCATGGCGCCGGGAAGCACCACGTACTTGGCCAACGCCGCGAGCTTCGCGACCAGCGGCTCTCCTCTCGCGAACAACGCCATTTCCTTCTTCTTCTTCTTCTCCTTCAAGATCAATGGCGCTTCTTGATCCGATGTGCTGCTGCTGCTGCTGCTGAATCGCAGAGGGATTTTGAGGTTCGATCGGGTAGAACCGCGGAACGACGACGGCGCATCGTCGTTTTTGGCTCCTGCGCCATCGCCCGTCGCCACGTCACTGGCTGCTCCCAAGCGGCGGCTTTGCGGGCTTTATATTGGGCTTTGAACGGGGGCCCATTAGGCTGCGATCCAGTTTGTGGCGTGAGCGTTTAATTTTTCTCTTGAGCTCTAATGCATTTTAGCATTTCTCCAACACGAAACGCTCGAAACTTTCAATTTTGATATACGATTTCATACAATTTTTTGGGGATAATGAGACAAATAGTCCCTGAACTTTGGCACAATATGTAACGTAGTCCCGAAACTTTTATTTTATTCAATGTAGTCCCTAAACTTTAGCATAATGTCCAATGTAGTACCTCAACTTATAATTTGTTCGATGTAGTCCCTGAACTTTTGATACATGTTCAATATAATCCCCGAATTTGAATAAATTGAATGACCATAATGAACATTTTCATATAGTTCAATGACTAAATTAAACATGTACAAAAAATTCAGAGACCACATTGCACGTTGGGTTAAAATTCACGAACCATATTGAACATATTAAAAGTTCATGAACCACATTGCACATTGGATTAAAGTTCATGTACTGTTCGTGTCATTTTCATAATTTTTTTCGTAATGTTTTGAGATTTAAAAAATACTTAAGGTTGACATTTGTTTCACCAACAACTTCATGATGAAGATAAATATTTTTCATGAAAATCAATTTTAAAAAAAAACGGTTAGTTTTTCATTTGATGGTGTCTCATGGTTGGTAGTAGTGATGGTGAAGACATGTTAATTGTTCTCGTGGGACGGTGGCCGGGCTCGGGCGACTATTTACCAAAAATACAGGTCTTCGATTGTTAGCGGTGGCAATGGCAAGCTACGACTATACAATGGTGGTGGGGGGCAATTGTACGACCAAGGCTGGCTGTCGTTTTGTCAACAAGGGGAAGGCTCATTTTGATAGGGTCATGACTTCTCATCGAATTACTTTTTGGGTTAAAATTGTGAAAAATTCCATACTGGTATATTTATGATAAATTTATCAAAAAAATTAATCCCAAACAAATACATCTGTGACAAATTTATCATCCGTTAGTTTTCGTTAAATTTTATCGTTAAATTGCTGAATTCTATGACACATGACAATTGACGGGTATATTGGATTGGGATTTTACAATGCATTTGTCACAGGTGTACCGGTTTGTGATTTTTCGTGGTATTAATCTAATTTAACGGAAACTGACGGGGGATAAATTTGTTACAAATATATCAGTTTAGGGGTTTTGGTGGTAAAAAAAAATTAATTTTGGGTAAATTTGTCACAAATGTACCAATTTTAGGTTTTTTATTGTCAAAAAATTAGTCTGGAATAAATTTGTCACATGCATACCGATTTGGGATTTTTTGTGGTATTAACCTTTATTTTTTCGTGTCGCTATTCGTATTTCATAACTACCGGGCTCCTCAACTCATGTTCCTGGCCCTTGGACCACCGAGATCTGGAATACTCGGTACTCAGGGTTCGAATCGAACATAGAGTTTACTAGAGCAAGACTCCTATAACAATGGGCAGTCGCTAATGTCGGTCGCCGTTTTCTTCCCGATTCTATGTCCCGCGATAGAAAAACGAATTGCGTATCCCCGATGAATCGACTCCTACGCAGCATCGTGTCAGACACCATGGAAAACGAGGGAAACGTTTTTCTCTACCGCGCCGTACCCGCTCGACATTGCCAACTCCATTCGAGCTATTGACAGACATGCATCACGTCCTTTGCAATGCAGTCGAACTATTCAGCTGACTTCTTTACCACATACATGCCGACCATCAAACTTCAAGATCTCAGGCGACGACAACAACACCGTCACGAGCCTAACGTGAAAAGGCCCGTCAATTAAGGAAAAGAGAAGCACCAAATTTTTCCCCCTCCTCCCACTTGCTCGATCCCCCAAACCGTCGCTCAAGATGATGAAGTGGTCGACTTGTGCATGACAGTTGTTACCTACTACATATCTGTACGCGTTTGATTTTGAACAGGGCAATGTGACGACGAAGATGTCTTCGACATATCGTGATAGTTAGACTCGATTTTCCGTCGGGGTCGGATGTTCGAATGTTCTTATTACGTCGTTTCGATAACATATCGTGTTTGCGATACATCAACAATGATTGGTCACCCTCTTTTTCTATTAAATGTTGAAGCACCCCACGACATAGGACGTGGGAACCATGTCTAGATTTCCAATTTTGTACTTAGCTCCTAGATATATAGCGGTAGACCTCATTGCTGGAGAGAGTGGTCCTAGTCAATTGCGTGTGGATTGTGCTATTTTAAAGGCAATTTTTCTTTTGCCCTCCAAAATTGGGCCTCTTATCGCAATCAACAACGTTGATTTGGATAACTAATCCAAAAAAAAAAAAACATTGATTTGGACAGAGTAATAAAAATTTAAAACAACCGTTTTACAAGACTGCATCCTTGCATAGATTTTATGTGGCTCTGTTTTTATCATTTACTGAGATCATGGCGTGAGATTCGCTAACGATAATAAATTATTAGAAAAAACATAATATTGGATATGATGCCAATTCAAAAATCGACGTGTAGGACCCTCAAAGGTCAGTATGGTTGATCGAGGCATCGAGGATTTCCTGCTCAGACACCTAAGATCACCCATTCAAATCGTGATAACCGCGTGCAAACTGTTTAGGACCGAAAACACCCTCACAGCACGGGCCATAGATCTTAGCTTAATTGGTTCACGAGGCTTACGTGGCATTCTATTAGCAACCCGCAAAATAATCAGGCCTCTGCGCTCGTGTCCTGAGATTACTATAATAAAAAAGAAGAACATCGACACGACCACATAAAAATGGTTGATCAGATACCTAAGTTTGGTATTTCGTATCATATGATCAAAGACATTAATCGGTCACTTGAAAATAATAATCTCGGACTTCGTCTCCATCCTCAACCAAAACATGACCACATCTGCCACAAAGAGAGACATTGCATCTGATTCAGTGTCGGATGGTTGTTTTTTCTTGGGCACCCATTGACCTGGATTCACATGAATCTGCAATGTCCCAAGAAATAAAAATTAGGGGATAGCATCACTTCACGTGTAATTCCAACTTTATAGCTAATGGTCTTTGCTCTTTGCCCTCAGATCTGGTCTCAAAGTCCCTCTTGCCTTCTTCTTCTGCAATGGACCTTTGACGGGTAGCTTTTCGAATTGGAACATTGGAGATCGGATTTTACCATATCAATGAAAGCTACTTTGATTTTAGTACTTTCTTGTTCGGCCCGTTTTTTCTTATTTTGGTAAAGCCCTCCCCAAAAGAGATGGAGTTTCTTTTGTATTGGGCACGGGGGGCGGTTGCTTCTCCCAAATTGCCTCGTGGAGAGGCAGATGCAGAGACGTTTTGCTGTCTCTGTCTGTGTTCCACAGCATCAACCGGGTTTATTATAACCGGTGAAACCATGTCAATGAATTGTTCTTGCAATTCCAAATTGCCAAAGAAAAGTAATAGGTAGTTGCAATTCCAAACTCCAAACTGGTACACCCATGATAAATTTATCCCAAACTAATTTTTTGACTACCAAAAATCCCAAACTTGTGTACTTGCGATAAATATACCTCAAACTAATTTTTTGACCACCAAAAACCTGAAACTGATACATTTGTGACAAATTTACCCTTTATTAGTTTCCGTTGAATTGGATTAATAACACGAAAAATCACAAACCGGTACACTTATAATAAACGGAGAATAAAACCCCAAACTGATACACTCGTCAACAGTCACGCGTCATCCAACTCAACAATTTGACAGTAAAATTAACGGAAACTAACGAGGATAAATTTATCACAGGTATACCAGTTTGAGGTTTTTGGTGGTATTAATCCAATTATTTTTGTAATTTCAACTTCATATCTTTCGTGAAAATTCTATTGGGTCTATTTCTTCCTTGAAAAAAATCAAGGAATCCCCCCGAACAGACCTCTGGTTGAAAGACAATTGCTGCTTAGAAATTTGGGCAAATACCATGGATGAAGATCAGCCATTGTTCTATTGAGTGCAAAGACAAATGATGGAAGGCCACACCTCCAATTCTTATTCGTGCATTGTGCCTAGACTCTGGTATCCTTCCAGTCCCATTTGACTTGTCCTTTAGTGGATCCTCTGCTTGTCTCTTGGTGACCCTTGGAAGCTTTGTGAAACAACCAGAGCGGAAATTTTGATATTCAATTATTGGACAGATTTCAAGGGTCGCTTTCCACTCGAAACTCACAGAAAAATGAAGTAGAAAGAAACGGGTCGGAAAACGAAGAAGGGCCCTTTCCAGATCTTCTCTTTCCTGGGTAGATTCGGGCGTGGGGCGGTGTCGAGATGGTAGTTAATATTTGCAAAGTACAAGAAGCTTGACTCGCTTCAATTAATTAATAAGAAGTTTCGGATACCCACACCACTAACCTTTCGTTCTTGATTGATTGGACTGTTTGGAAGTTCTTGGGCTCCCACTCTCTCTGTCTCTCTCTCCCTAACGTGCCTCGCTGAAACAATTATTATAGTCTTCATTCATCTTGCCACCACCACCATCTTTTATTGACTTCTGCAGCAGTATTTCAGTGTGCAGCCCGTCTGCATTTACTGAAGAGTCCTTCCTCCTTGGTGTTTTCTTGAACTTTGTCGTTGGTTTTGCTTCTGGGTCTTTGCGGAACTGGTCCCTGAAGTCATCCTTCTCCTGTGTTTTGCTTGAAAAAAAGGATAAATGGGCTGATTTCAAGAAAGGTAACTGAGTTGGCGAGCGAGTTTCGGTTTGACTCTGAATCAGTGTGTGCGGATTGCGGTGACGGTGTTGAAGGGTGGTTGGGCAAGCAAAGCTTGGATCTTTCGGTTTCTTCCGAGCACTTCTCGTTTTCTTAATCTGGCAACAAATAATTATTAATCTCGCTCTCAAATCTCAATTTCGGAACTCTTCTTTCTATCTCTCATTACAATACCAAAAGATTCCACCCCAAAGCCAGTTCATCACGGACTGAA